GAAGACTTGTAGGGGTAAGGGGTAAAAGGAAGACTTGTGTAGTTTAACAATCAGCAAAAATAAACAAATACATCTCTTTCCTGAGATGCAAACTTTCAGACACGTGCCTCTAGCTTGAAACCGTGCTAAAGACGTAGAGTACAGGTGTGAGTACAGATATAAAATCAAAATTGGAAGTAACCTTTTAGACTCATGTTGTAGAAGAACTCCACAATAACAAGTCACACTATTTAGCCCTATCTGCTTTTGAATTACTTGGCTGAGGTAAATAACCATTCTATATTGGACAAGAAAACGAAAATGTCATTCAACTACTTCTACGATTCACCACTAACAAGGAAAGGCAGTACCCTCATAGTTTGGCTACAATTGCTCTATTAGAGTTGAAAACCCAGTAACCTTTCAAGAAAGCTTGACGATATATCATGCAATTCATAAGGGGGCAGAAGCCAAAACCAAGTCAACCAACACAATTGAAGGTTTTTAACAGGGCATGTTACAGTGGCAGCTTTTGTGGAAACTTGGTACAAATTGATCAAACTCAGATTTGCATTAATACCTGGATGTAGTTGCTCTTGAAACTTGAGATTTAGCTTCCTCAGACGGAGCAACCAGTTTCCTCTCTTTTCGTTCCTTGATCTACTCTCAGGCAATAACAACATGAGTATTAGTCTCCCAAAATATTTTTTCTTCACAAAAAACACCCAGGTCAAATCTCTTGCTAATAAGGAATACCATATATATAAACAGACCTTCCGTATGTTGGTAAGAAGTTTCACGTGCTCTTCGGGCATCACAGCCTTAACAGCATCCAGTCCAAATTTTTTGACGAGCATTTCCAGTAGAAGCTTAATCTGGGAAAATTCAAAATAGACCAAATTTGAACCACGAGTGCAGTAAAACACACCAAACATCATGCTGAAGTAACATGCTGAATAAAAAGCAAACCTTAGCTTTGAAGTGTGTCTTGACATTATCTTTCCGCATCAGCAAGCCTTCGACCATGCTCCTCAAATGTAATTGCAGACCACCCTCATCTTTCGATTTTGCCACTAATACCTTCAGGAAACCTAAATTAGCCTGCATTAAAAACCCATGAAGAATTATTTAGAGAAGCAGAGAAGGAATTAGAAAGAATGGATAAATGGACAAAATTAATACCCAATGGAAAGACGAACACGGATAATAATTCTGTTATATCTAAGTAAAATGTGATTGAAATGCTAATCAGAAAGGAAAGTCAACAAACTTTGAATATTTCTTTGTCCCCTCTTCGAAGTAGTAGAAATGTGGATGGAAGCAAATTGCAAGCAGTTGAAACAAGATCAGAGAACTCATAAACCAAGCGAGCCAAGCCTTTCACTGCAGCACTGATCATTGGAGTATCGCCAGCCAGCCCGCCAGCTACCTGAGACCACGAAAGTACTATATTGTATTAAATGGATTACTGGATCAGACACACACCAAAAGGATTAAGGATATGAAAACAGGTCATCCCACGAGACTGCACAATTAATATTTCAATGATGTTAAAAAAAAAAAATCAAAATCTGTACCATGTTAAAAAATTGATACAAGTTTTCCTTTTTTCCTCCTTTCTCTTCATCTCCACAAGCGTGACCCATTTCGACAAGAATTTCATAAGCTCTGTTTCTTGTTTTCTTATTAACCTGCAAAAGAAACTGTTTTTCAATACATGTTGCAATTGTAGAAAGAAACTAACAAGTTCCGACAGTGAAAATATTACCTCTTTAAGTGCGAGTATTATTTCTGTTAGGAAACATTTTATGATGTCATGCCTCTGCTGCTCGACATTAACCTAAAGACAGATAATGTTTCAGGTAAAGCAGGCATACTACTAACTGTGAGCCTAAACCAACATATTAGTTAACAATTTCATGTTGTAAGACTGCACCTTAAGCTAATTTTAGAAAATAAATATTTACATCTACCTTAAAAACATGAATTATTAGGAAGTACAAACAATCAAGCCTGTGTCGCTTTGCAGACGAACGGTATGTTTCCATATGTTCGATCATAAGACGAAGTGATTCATTGAGGTTCTTTTCTTCTGACAGGAACTTATCACTAGTCTGATCACACAAATAGTATATCCATGAGTTAGAAGACTTATCAATAAATTTAAATTATAATAATTAATAAAAGGACCTAATGCATCAAAAATTTAAAAAAAAAAAAATATATATATATATATATATTGACTAAAAGCAAATGAATGCATCTTGGTATTCCTTTCAATAAATAGGAAAAATATGAAGATAAAATGCATATCGATATCTATGTATCATTTGGCCAACTCATATGATATAAATGTAGCTATTGTATGGACCACGACCGCAAATTATAAGTGACGATCAGTGCATAAAACTCAAAAGCCTTTACATACCTTAAAAATAAGAGATAAGACTTTGTAAGCCTTCTTTTGTAACAAACCATTATCATGCTGCAGCCATGAATACTTTAGTTACTGCAACCCTCCCAATGCGAAGCCTAAAAGGAGCTCCCTTTACAAACAATCAAATTAAACCACAAGATGATACAGACATATTGACAAACCTGTAACAAAGGCTTTATTGCTGTGAATAAAGTGCTGATCTCTTTGGTATCCAAACCAGGCAAAAGTGAAACAGCCAAGTCAAGTAGCTGTCCCCTGTGGTTAATTAAGATACAGAAGTTACTATACCAGCACAAGATGCATAAATTGAACGCCCAAAAACGTTCATAAAGAACTGAGTTCAAAATAAACGAATGAAATGTGCAACATACAAGAACTAGTACAAATGGAAAAAAATAAAAATAAATAAATAATAAATATGAAGGGAATGAAATGGAAACAACCTTACAACTGAAAGTGAACCTTCATCAGATGGCTCATCAATTGACATAGAATTAAATTTCCTTGAATTTTTTGTTTCTCCAACTTTATGGGTGACATTCAAAAGCTTATGCATTGTCCTTGCAAAAGACCTTGATACAACTTGCTTATCTGCTATTGAAGCGAACTCGGCTATAGCAGACTGGAATTGAGATAAACGTAGTTAGCCAAATTACAAAAGAAAATGTCATAAATAATTAAGTGCAAAAAGCTGATTCACTTCATATAGATTGCTTTTAAACCACAAATGTCGACACTCTCAATGTAGAAGCCGGTGAGTATTTAATAAAATTCCACCACATGTTTGTGATGACATCAAGAACAAGATAAAAAATCTGCTCCAAGATTAAGTACCAAATTCTCATAAAAAAGAATAAAATGTGTATCAAATGCATTGTAGAGATAGGAGTACCTGCAAAGAACCTCCATCATCTTTACCAGATTTAAGGAAAACATTTGACAAAACAGTCAACAATTCATGAGCAGATTCTGTCAATGCACCCAAGTTATCTTTTGCAACCTGTGGGGTATAATAAGCCATCACTCGTTGTCTGGCAATGCCGACTTCAGAATCGTCCGGATCAGAAGTGTGATTATCACTTCCGCAGATTTTCTTATTCTGTTGAATTAAAATCTGTAAACTGGAGCATATAATTCCACGGACATCAGGCTCTCCACAAAGGGCACTGCACAAATCTTTCAGTAAATCCTTGAAACTTTCAGCAGTATCCAAGGGATAGTTGCAAAATGAAGGCAGCAAGGACCATAAAGAGTATATCAGTGCATCCACACTCCTAGAAGAATAAGCCCGTCCTTGTTGCTCAAGCTGCCCAAAATAAGAAACTCCTTTAAGAATAAACAAATGAATAAACAAATAAGCTTTCCAAGGATTTCAAAGAGTTTCATACCTCTTCAGATTTCCTCTTCATCTGTCTAACCTTATCCAAAATCTCCATAAAGAAGCTTAAATTGGCACCAATGGTATACTGCTTAAGAATTGGAAAGAGCCAAACGTTGACCTCTGTTAGGTCTTCAGCTTCCAAATTAAAAGGTAGAAGACCCAAGAAAGTTTGAGGTCCCATTGCACCAAGAGCTGACCCAAGGCACTCATGCAGCTGCATGTGAAGTATGTCAACGAGATTTGCAGAGATATGGACAAAGTAACACATCTTTTAAATAGAATCAACACAATCTTTTGACAATGACATATTAACTCAACTGAAGACATTGCTCAGAGCTGACCCAAAAAAAAACGTGGATCATCAAAAATACCTGTTTTCTAAACGGGAAATCTTCATCTGGCAACTTGTACATATCTGCCAAGGTCTTAAGGGTTCCTCTCATTAGATAAGAAGAATCAGCCCCTGCATGAGAAAGTTGATTAAATGATATACCATAAATTGGGTTTAAAAGAACCAGCACATGTAAAATGTAGCACACGAC